TCGCCGTGTGCACACACGCGCCCGTGCCACCTCCTGCCTGCTAGCTTGCGTGGCGCCGCGGACAGACCCGCGAGAGTCGTCTGGATCGCTCCGACGCCCCGCCACTCTCTCCCCCGTCCTCACCCTCTCCCCTGGATCTCTCTCTCTCGCGCCCGACAGCTGCCGTCGCCGCCGTCCACCAATCGCTCGGCCACAGGGCCTCCCTCGCTCCCCCAACTAGCCCACCAGCTCCGCCACTCCATCCTCACCCTCCCCGCCATCTCACGCGACCGGAGAAGCCCCGAGGCGCCGCCCCGCCGTTCTTCCCCTCTTTGGACCCGCCGGTCGCCATCGACGAATTCGTCGGCTCCGGGCCGTCCCCGACCTCGCCGAGCATCCCATCGTGATCACTGTGAGCTCCTACGTCGATTACCCCTCTTCCCCGGCCTCTCCACGCTCCCTAGCCACGGCTCCACCTCCGGCCGAAGCTCTGCTCCGCCATGGCCGCAGCTCGCGCGCTCCCCGTGCTCCGCTCGTTACTCCCCTGCAATAGGCGTGCTCCGGAGCGCCTCCCCTCGTCGCTGCCTTGCTCAGACCCCTCGCCTGTGAGCCCTAGCCGCAACGCCGCACCTCGCCGAACTCCGGCCGCCGCTAAAGGTCGTCGCCGACCACTCTCCGGCCACTCCCCGGCCGCGCCACCACCCTGGTTGGATGCGGACGAGCGTCCGCATCCCGTAGTCGTGCTCCGCGCGCCAAACGGCGCTCTGTAGGCCATTTCCGAGCCCTCCGCCGCGTCTGGACTCGCCGGCGGCTAAACGCCGGCGCCCGCTGACCCGCTGACCGGCGTGGGTTGACCCACTGCCAGGTTTGACCTCCCCCTCTCTCACTGACCTGCGGGCCCGCCCGGCTAATTAGGCTAGGATTAATGTTAAACTAAATATTAGTTAGTTATTAGTCGCTGACCAGTGGGCCCAACCCCCACCCTAATCTTTTAATTAAACTGAATAAACCCCTGTTAACCCCCTGTCACTGACCAGCGGGCCCCACTGGTCAGGTTTGACCGGACCAGCCCCTGTTGACTATGCTGAGGTCAGCATGACCTAGTGCTGACGCAATAATTCCTTTCTGGAATTTAGATAATTATTAAATGATTTATAAATTCCAGAAAATTATATAAACTTCTAAAAATCATAGAAAATTAACCGTAACTCCAAATTAAATAAATTATATATGAAAAATTATCAGAAAAATTCAAGGAATCCATCTGTACCATTTTCATGCATGTTAGAACAACTTATAGCTGCTGTTTAGTACAAATCAAATAAAGGGCATTTAAATATCCACATATGGAGTTTGAATTTGAATCTTGTATTCAAACCAACTTCATTTAAATCATAGCTAGGTGCATTAGCTCAAATCACAGCATATTGCCATGTCATGATCATGCATCATATTGTAGCATTGCATTGATTGTGTTCTTTCTCAGTTACCGGTGTTTGTCCCCTCTCGATAGACGTGTACCGATGATGTGATCGTTGACACTGATGAAGACTCAATGTTATCTTCAGAAGTGCCAGGCAAGCAAAACCCCCTTGTTCATTCCGATACAATCCTACTCTCTTGCTCCTGCTCTCTTTTAATGCATTAGGACAACACCGATTTTCCTGTTACTTGCTGCGGTAGCTGAACCCCTTTATCCTCTGCATGACCTGTCATTGCCACAGTAAATAGATGAAACCCACTAGCATGAGTAGGAGTTGTATGAGCCCTGATGTGCCTACTCATTCATGCTTGTTTGTCATGCCTGCTACTGCTTAGAGTTGAGTCAGGTCTGATTCATCGGGGATGAATCAGAGGCGTGTGAACATGTCCTACTGTGTGTGAGCTAAGTGTGTGAACACGATTTGGTAAAGGTAGCGGTGAGAGGCCATGTAGGAGTACATGGTGGGTTGTCTCATTGCAGCCGTCCTCAGGAACTGAGTTCTGTGTTTGTGATCCATGATTCAGCTACTACCACGCATTGGGCCCGAAACCAATGGACCCTCTCGGCTTCTTGATCACCCTTGTCCTCTGTCCAGGAGTTGCAAGTAGTTTCTGGTGTTTGTAGTATGCTGGAGGCCGTGCGCAGCGCTGACCGTAGGGGTGGGCTGTGATGCGGTAGGCACGTGGCTGGGTAAACCGGGCACCCGTTTGGTGTCACGGAACCCTGTACACATCGTTTGGGGCTGTGAGCGAAACTCCGGCCGGATCTTCTCATGGATGGAACCCGAATAGGCGATAAACCTGGACTAGAGACTTGAGTGTTTAGGTAGGCCGTGGCCGACACCCACGTTGGGCTTCCGCTTGAAGGTTGCCGAGTACATGTCGTGTAAACGGCGGTAAGTGGTGAGAGCGTGTGTGAAGAAGTACACCCCTGCAGGGTTAACCTAATCTATTCGAATAGCCGTGTCCACGGAAAAGGACCTCTGGGTTGCTTATATCAGTTCATAGACAAGTGAAAGTGGATACTTTAAAATACGCAAGATAAGCGTGAGTGCTATGGATGGCGTTCTCGTAGGGAGACGGGAGCGGATCCATAGTGGTGTATTGATATGGTGAATATGTGGACTCGTGTGCGCCACCTCAAAAAAGTTACTCGCAGTCGTAGTTCAGGATAGCCACCGAGTCAAAGCTGGCTTGCTGCAGTTAAACCCCATCATCCCTTTGTTGATAATGATGCATATGTAGATAGTTCTGATGTAAGTCTTGCTGGGTACATTTGTACTCACGTTTGCTTATTTTATGTTTTTGCAGAGAGACTTCAGTCTCACTAGTATTTCCGCGTGGTCTTCGACGTTTAGCTTGTTACCTCAGCTACGATCTTGTGCCTCGGCAGGATTTGGTAGATAGTCAGGCTTCTCAGCCTTTTTCATTTATAGATGTCTGTACTCAGACATGATAGCTTCCGCTTGTGCTTTGACTTGTATGCTTTGAGTGTTGGGTCATGAGACCCATGTTTGTAATATCTCGCTCCTCGGAGCCTATTGAATAAAGTACTTGTGTCGTAGAGTCATGTTGTGATGCTTCGTTGTATTTGCACATATCGAGCATATTGTGTGTGTGATTGAAATGCTTGGTATGTGTGGGATCTGACTATCTAGTTGTTTATCTTTAGTAGCCTCTCTTACCGGGAAATGTCTCCTAGTGTTACCGCTGAGCCATGGTAGCTTGCTACTGCTCTGGAACACTTAGGCTGGCCGGCATGTGTCCTTCTTCGTTCCTGTGTCTGTCCCTTCGGGGAAATGTCACGCTTTGAGTACCGGAGTCCTGTTAGCCCGCTACAGCCCGGTTTACCGGAGTCCTGCTAGCCCAGTGCTACAGCCCGGACCCACTTGCTGATGACCGACACGTTCGAAGCTGGGTCATGGATGCCTGTCCCTGTAAGTCTGTGCCACTTTAGGTTTACGACTAGTCATGTCAGCCCGGGCTCTTTATCATATGGATGCTAGCGACACTATCATATACGTGAGCCAAAAGGCGCAAACGGTTCCGGGCAAAGGTAAGGCGACACCCGTGGGAACACCGTGCGTGAGGCCGCAAAGTGATATGAAGTGTTACCGGCTAGATCGATGTGACATCGAGTCGGGGTCCTGACAACGGGTGTCGCTGTCGGCGCGGCCGGCCAGGAATTTTGCCCGATCCTCGCCACCAGCAGCATCTCCTAACTGAGAGCCGGTGACCCAGGGTAGCACGGCCTGACCAGGAAGGCCCGCACGCCGAACAGGGAAGGAGGGGGCAAATCTCGCACATCGGCAGCTATCGCGGAAGCCACCGCCACCGCCCTCGGCCATCGAAATCCCGCCGCCCACGCGTCCTGGACACCGGATCCATCATCTGCGCCGCCGCTTGCCGCAAAGCCGGTGGAGCCTTGCCAAGGGAGTCGCTGCTCCAGATCCAAAGCCCCCCGCATGGAGGCAGGGCAGCCAGAAGCCCCGCCGCTACCATCGTTGGCAGCGCCGCGAGGGGAGGGGATCTCTAGTCTAAAGCAGGCCCAAGCATGTCGTTGGCATCAAACTTTGAGGTGTATGTCTGTACCCAACAAATATTCAAACGCATGAGCTATATGTAAGTCATCTGATTTTTTTCTCAAATCAATTTTCTGTGGGAAGGAAGGAGGCCTGGCCGACGAGCAGAGGCGATGGCTCACCGGACAAAATCTAATCACCAGGTATTCTTTAGAGGGGTGATCAAGGGTGTCAGCAGCGCAACAGTGAGGGGAAAGCGGGTAGGTGAGGCAGCACAAGAGCACCAGCAGCCGCAGGTGGTGGATCGATCGGTGGTTGTGGGTTGTTCAGGAGGAAGGAGGCTAGATGTAGAAGACGACGCAGAAGCCGTTCGATGAAGATCCAACGACCAAAAAAAAGCAAATGCATTTTTGTTTCAAACACTTGGACTTCGCTGTTACGTACCGTATTGCCCTTCTTATTGCAAGAAGTCACAGTCCTAGACAGAGAAACTGTCTTTATTTTACCAAACTTGGCAATCTCCCTGAACAAACTTGCGATTCGAGTCCATGCATGTTCCCCACAAAATTCATGCGAAATCAGTACCTTTGAAACTTTTCATGAACACATAGCAAATGCAAGATCGAGATTCAAATGTTCACTTCCATGCAACACATCGGCAAAATCAAGCAGGAGATACTTCATTCAATTCAAAAGCAGTTCATAAATGTTTCTGCCTTGCAGATTTCTGAGATTTCAGGGCCTAACTATTAAGTTGCAAATATTCAAGGACAAAGCATCCATGCGGCCATGTCAGTATGCAAGATTTTTGACAATTGCTTTGTCATCTGCTGGAGAACATGAAGAATTCGTTTCGGTACTTCCTTACCAAGGAGAGGCCAAGTGAAGTATATATGGGTAGGGCATAGTTTGAAACAAGTATTTCTTTGTATAGTACTGTTGCCCTGTATCCAAATCCAGCTCAACACAGACGAACAAGCCATGCAAAGGCTGCAGATCAATCGATTTTCCTACCCTTCACTGCTGCAAAAACTTGTTCAATGCAGTTGTGTCCAATGCTGAAAATTCATTCGCAGCAGCAAGCACTGCAAGTCCGAGCTTAATGGCGTCATTCTTGCTTTGTGCCTGCATGCACATGTGACATGGCCGGTCAATTTCTTTTTAATAGAATGGTGCTTCCTAAGGTTTGACAGTTGAAAGAAAAGGGAAGAAAGGACAACCTCAATGTTAAGGGGAAGAACTGGATCATGGAGGGATAGCCTCAACAGGAACCAGCCACCATATCCAGAAACTCTGACCTGCGTACCATAGTAATGCAGCATGAAATATTAATCAGTAAAGAACTGAAGATGTATACATCAGCTTAGCAAAGATGATCGACGTACGCCTTCATGATTCTTTGGGGCTTTGCGAAGATTTGGGTCTTTACTGATCACACTCTCCAAATGTTTCAAGATTGATTCTCCATAGTCACGGAAGGGCCTGCAAAAAAGAATAAATTAAACCCATGAACTTTATCAGTACTTGATATAGAGTACTTAAATACATCTCTGTAGTCAAGCTTGACCGGCTTTTGTTGTGCCAGCATGTGTAATTTACTGCTAAAAAGACAAGGGGTAACCCTATTTTCAAATGGCCAATTAATCTCCTTCAAATGTGAAAGCTCTCTTACCTAGAACATAAAACAATCTAAATCAGAGCATTCCATGGATGTCATGCAGATGAACTCACAATATTAACACATTGAGACATGCTTATGCACAATAGAAGCATGTGACAACTAGAACTCTCAAAGTTAAGCATAAGTTCAATCAATTTTGCTGTAGCAAGTTCAACTAAGGTTCACGCATGCTTCCTACTATAACTATTGTTCCATTTCTATTGAATCTTGGGCCAGTAGTCTTCCATGATATCCCACCTTAACTGGCTACTGAATGAAAGTGTTTTTATTTCAGACAGTAGTCAAGGCCATGGGTAGCATCATTTTTCTAAAAATGGACTGAATGTTGCTGGTTAGAACTTAACATACCCTCCTTTCAAATCTGCATGATTTTGATCAATCTTCAACCTTATCTCCACTGTCACAGCAGCCTCCTCAAGGCCCTCGACCAAATCAGTCAAAACTTTACTACCGATGTTTGGGTTCAATGTTCTGGCACCAGCAAGTTTATTCAGAAGTTTAACCTAGGGCAAAAAAATAAGAGAAGATAAGTAAGGAAGCGTGTGCCAATAAAGAGAGATGGCAATGTGTCCTTGGGAATATGATGTTCCAGTTTTCTTTCCAGGTCAAATGAAATACAGCACATCCGGAACTACAATGATATATACTGTTGGAATTAGTCTAGTAAGGAGGAACTATCTTAAGAATAGAGGGATACAAATAGCAATGCTTCTAAAGTTGTAGCTATAAGAGATTCAGCTATAACATGTCATAAAGGTTCAGAGGGAGATTTCAAACCAACCAATGTTAAGCATAAAATGGCAACATCTTCATCTGGTTCCCATATAATTGCATGTTCATAAAGGTTCAAGGAATGTAGCAGAACAAGAACCCTTACCATCATATACGCTCCATCATCGAGCCAGTGATTCTCTTTTAGTGCTCCATGGCCACTTGTTTCCATCGCCAAATGTGATTCCTCACCAATAGAATTCTGAAATATTCATAATTTGCATTTCATACTACTAGGTATCATGGGACAAATTACAGGGTGATCTGAATCATGAAGAAAGAGCAAACTAACCAGACGAATAGCCTCATCGATTACATTCTTGTATCCTCGCTTGAATCGATGGTGTTTCCCTCCTTGAGCATAAAATAGATAAGAAAATGATTATTTAAGCAAATAAGCACCAAGCTGTGACTAGCACAATACCAAGTTTTCAGTTCAAAAAAAGTATCTACCAAGTTTCTTCTCAATAAATACAGTCAGTCCATCTGATGTCACGCTATCAGTCACAACAGTGGTTCCTGGATGCTAGTAGCAGATCAATGAATTAGTTAAGACACAAGCAACAGAGTAATACGAAACAAAACTGCAGCTCCACAAAATCTTACCTCCTCAAGAACTATGGCAGACATCAAAGCAATTAATCGGTTGCGGTTCAACTCACGTCCACTGGAATCAACAGCAGCTGACCTGCAAAAATCAAGATTTTTAGCATTGATGTTATTACGCATATGCAGAATCTCAATGATTATTTTTGCACCTGTCAACATCAGTATCAAATATGATGCCCAAGTCTGCCTTATTATTAAGCACTGCTTGTGTAATGGCTTCCATTGCAGCTTTGTCCTCAGGATTCGGAATATGATTGGGAAACAAACCTAAATATGTAGTTCATAATGAGAGAAAGGCCACAAAGAGATTACTGGAATGAAGAAAAGATCCAGCTATTACCATCAGGCTCCAGGAATTGGCTCCCATCAGTAACAGCTCCTAATGGTTTTAGTACCTTGTCCTGGTCCAATAACCACAGCAATTCCAGAAGGCAATATTAGATAATTTCAGCAGCCCATTTTAAGTATTCAATCGGCATGTTGGCACCAATGCAATGGATCAACCTTGGTTAAAGAGATTATAGTGATTCTAAGTATCAACAAATTCTGTGCAATGGGCATTCTATTTAGTATTTATCATTATTATATGACTTCCTATCTAGTATCTACAAGTCAAGTTCATTTGTATGTATATTCCTAGCCCTGCCCAAAACAACCCATATTTCATTATACTGGAAATGCAAAACAGATAAAAAAACTTGCAAAATACACAGATGATGATGGCCTTCAATCATGGGAGAATATCAGGTGCTACCGCCCCTTAAATGCTCACGTGCTCCCAACTTTCAGAAAATATATTTAAATGTTTCAAAAATTCGGATTTTTGTGTGAATGTTTTCAAGACATGTGCCTACAATCTGTAAAAAATTCAAATCCAATGTACACGTGGAGAAACAAAAAGGACACTATTCACATATGGATTTGTCCTTTTTGTTTCTCCATGTGTATTTCAAATTTGGATTTGAAATTTTTAGGAGATCAACTTCAGGCTATTGTGTGTTTGTGGGAGGAAATTTGATTGAAGAGAAGCTTGTCCGACATCGTCTGAGATGGTTTGGGCATATTGAACGCAGGCCTCCAGAAGCTCCAGTGCATAGCAGACAGCTAAAGCGTGCTGATAATGTCAAGAGAGGTCGGGTAGACCAAACTTGACATGGGAGGAGTCCGTAAAGAGAGATCTGAAGGACTGGAGTATCAGCAAAGAACAAGCCATGGACAGGGGTGCGTGGAAGCTAGCTATCCATGTGCCAGAACCATGAGTTGATTGCGAGATCTTATGGGTTTCAGCTCTAGCCTAACCCAACAGACAGTTGTGTCTAGATCAACAGCAGAAGCTGAGTATAGAACATCATTATCTCAAGGATTGAGTGAGATGCTCTGGGTGAAGAACCTACTGGGCGAGTTGAAACTTTAGAGGAAGGGACCGCTGAGAGTGTGGTGTGACAATCAGTCAGCTATAAACATTGCCAATAACCCAGTTCAACATGATAGGACAGGACAGAACATGCGGAAATTGTTCGTTAAGGAGAAACTTGACGCTGGGTTCTTCAGCCTTACTCATGTCAGCTCTGGGCAGCAAATTGCAAATTGCTTGACAAAGGACTGGGAACAAATGATTGTAACTTGGCATGTGACAAGATGGGGTTGATAGATATCTACAACCCATCTTGAGGGGAAGTGTTGAACCGGTATGGGCCTGGCCCATCACCTCTTAGGCCCAAGTGGGCTCTCTAGTATAAGCATCCAGGAGGGCTCTCTCCCAGCCAAGAGACCTAGCCGCCAGCGCCGACACACACGAACGAGAGCAGAGCAGGTATGCTCCGTCTCATACTCAACATGTTTTCTTCCCCCTATGTGCAAGGATTGGGTTGAAACAAAAATAAACTCACAGGCCAACATGTGGCCTTGGCCTCTATAGGACACTGTCCGAACACTCAATGACAATTGTGGTATGAATTTGTTGTGAACCTCGATTCACAATGGGATAACTACCACACTGAAGATAGGCAGACGACACGGCTGTGAGGGATTGAGTAGACATAGGTTGGTACGAGAGAATAACTAGGAGAGATCAAATTGACTGTTCTTGCTTGCCTCAACCCAAGATACATGGTAATGGTATGCTTATATAGTACTGTAGATGCTTAGCCTTAACCTTCCTAATACAATGGGACTCCTTATAGAACTCCCATTTCAACACCTAGCCTACCAAATATGCTAGCGCACTCCTCTCTGTTTGGACTCCCACCTGGACCTGGTAGTCCACAAAAAAATTAGTCTGTTACTACTTATTACCACACCAAACCCAAATTCAAGCCCCATGGCAGATAGATTTATCGAAATCAAATTTTATGTTCACTGAGTCAGCCATAAGCACATATTCTAATAATTTGACGTAACAACCTAATATTTCACCAGGGCTCATATTCGCCCTGGGGAAAAAATCCAGTTTCTGCTGGCAACCAGATTGAGTGGATATGACTACAAATTCAAAACCAGACAATCTTTTTTTTAATGCTAAGTTCAAATTCAGAAAACTTAATGTTTTGCATAATATGTTGTCTTATATGGGAGTAACAACTAAGTTGAAATAACTAAACTTCTGTTTCTATTAGAATAATGTGTCTATAATATTGCATAAGAAAACTGAGAAAATATCCAATAGACTTGTCGATCAGTTGGCCGAAGGTAAGGATAGAATGCACAACACAAAAACCCTGACTGAAAAAACATACTGCTACAGAACAAGTAGGAGTAAACACATTACCACAAAAAAGCCACCTGCTCCATTCCCTGCATCAACAACTATGTGCAGTCCCTCCAATGGTTTCTCTAAGACCAAATGGACAAAAATATAAGCATAGAAAAAGTCATTTTCCTTCATATTTATCTTCTCTATATTCAATCATTTCACAGTTAGCTATCAGATTAATCTTCCACATAGGCAATAGTCACATATTTGAATACAAATAGAATGTGAGATACATGAACCAGTAGCTTTCTAATGAGCAGATAAAAAGGTATATGAATAGTAGAAATTGACATGTGTAATGCATCCGAGAAATGTGGATTGTAAAATAACAATAATACTTATGCCCCCTTTATTTTTATATACACCGCATAGGGGGTGCAAAGCGGTGTCCCGCAAAGACCCGCCAAAGAGACAAATAGTATAAACTAGTATAACACACTCTACTTCAGCTGGAACTAATTTTAGTTTTGCATATGAAGCGGGCCGGGTTCAGGCGCCTAGCTCCGCATATTAGCTTTGACTGAAGTCAAACTTTATAAAGTTTGACTAAGTTTATAGAAAATAATATGAACATTTACAACAACAGATCTATATGATGTGAAAATATATTCAGTGTTGAATCCAATGGTATTGATTTGGTATTGTGTATGTTTTATAGTTTTCCTATAAACTTGGCCCAAGTTTATAAAGTTTGACTTCAAACAAAAGCTAATATGCGGAGTAAATAAAAACGGAGGGAGTATAAGATAGAATAAAGCATATAATATTAATGATTAATATCACAGCAACTAGGATCAAGCAAAATATAAATAGAATGTGAAATTCATCAGCAAGATAATTTGTTTATTGAGCGCATGAAATTTATATACGTAATGACAATGAGAAATCAATCAATGGCGGAAATAAAAACATCAGATATGCAAAGCAAAGGCAAGAAATCAAACGTGATTGAGCATAAATTTCCTAATGAATCAAAATACAGTATAAAATAAGCATATGATGAACACCTTTGTTTCCAGCAGATTTACGAACTGCTTGCACTAGATCGGAAGCATAAATTGACATGTAATCCACATGAGTTACGACACCGGTCTGTTCTTGTTTGCCACAATGCGCAGATTCCTCGTATATTCTAGAAGCCCGCTCCAATATATCTTTAATATCAGTCTTATTTAGACCACCATCACTTGTAAAAAACTTGAAACCATTCCGATTGTAGGGCAAATGGCTCGCTGTACAGAACCAGTGAAAAAAATAGTGAGCCTATATTTAACAAAACTTTAAGAAATGAAGTAGAAATGATCTCTGAACTAATGCAGAGTTGCAAAACGTTGCTGTCAGAATGAGGACACATGCACGTAAGATATATAAGGCCTCTTGCAGTGGGTAGTATCGTAACGCAAAATACCACTTTAGTTACTACCTTCCCATTGCATAGCATCATAGTGCTACCTTGTTTATTCATTTGTAGAATCTAAATGTGAAATTGTGACTGTACAATATCTATTTGCCATTAAATTTCCTTCTTCTGTGTGCTATGATACTACTACCACCTCTCTCATCTTCAATTGTAGTGCCACATCATCTTAATGATTACATGGCACTGCATGATAATTGTGTATGGGTTCTTGTCCCATTTCTTTTTCTTAATATAATGATACGCAGATCTCCTGCGTGTTCAAAAAAAAAACTGCAGCGGGGGAGGCCTAATCAGAATACATAGGTTCCAGTGAAGAATAAGACAATCACATAAACGATTTTCTGCGCAACCATCTAGTGAGAACACCATCTAAACAATATATTTGTCAGTCTTTTCTTTTCACTCTCTTGTTCACCATTAGCATCAAATGACCGTTCTAGTGACCGTTCTAGTGACCGTTCTACGTCGACTCCTCTCACGGCTTCCGCACGCAGCGGTGACCGCTCTATGTCGACTCCTCTCGCGGCTTCCGCGCGCGGCGGTGATCGCTCTATGTCGACTCCCCCAGTGGCTTCCACATATGGCTCTACGCCGACTCGCTACTCTCGGTCGACTCTGCACGCGGCTTCCACGGGTGGTGAAGACTGCTTTTTATCAACAGGTGCTTCTACCTCGACCTCTTCCGCCATGTCCCTGTCTCCGCGTGAGATTAAGCAGCTGCAATCTCTGCTTGCTACTTGGGATTCTTCACCAACAAGTTCTGCAGGTTCCGTGACTGACTCTTCTGGCACTGAGAAACCACCTTCTAGTCATTCAGGTACATCCCCATGGATTCTTGATACTGGAGCATCTTTTCATATGACATATGACTCTTCCACTTTGACCTCCGTTCGACCTGTTGAGTCTCCTGTTCGTGTTCTTACAGCTGATGGCACTCCCTTGCCTGTAGCTAGTCGAGGCACTCTTAGCACTTCTTCATTTCATGTTCCCTCTGTCGCTCATGTTCCTCGACTTACCATGCAGCTCATATCTGGTGGTCAGATTGTTGACTCTAGTTGTAGGGTCATCCTTGACTTTGATTCATGTTCCGTCCAGGATCATCGCACGGGCACTCTACTTGGTGCTAGCCCTCGACGCTCTGATGGTCTTTGGGAGCTTGACTGGCTACGTCTTCCTTCTGCTCATTGTTCAAGAAAGCGTTCTTAAGCGACGCTTAAGCGCGATTAAGCGCTGAGCGATGGCAAAGCGCTTCACTTTTGCCCTAAGCGGTAGATTAAGCGTTTTTTATTTAAATTTGACCAAAATTTGGCAATTTTTGTACTTCTGCTGGTCTGCTTGCGCAATAATGGCAATATGCTATTTATCTTATTACTAGGCTATGTTCAAGAACTATTTCCTTCATATTTTGGTAAAATTCTGTCCACATGATATCTGTTAGGTTATGTCTATTTGAACTGAACTGCATTTTAGTTGTTATTTTGCTTGCTATGCTAACCTGATATGTATTTGCTATTGTGTGAACTGTATTTCAGATGCTACTTCAATTACCCATGTGCCATGCTTCCTATTTTCATGTGTATATCATTCAAAATCTGTCAAATTCTAGCCAATTTCAAAAAACGCTTAAGTGCGATTAAGCTGCGCTTAAGCGCTCATTGCTCTAAGCTGTGGCCTTCCGCTTCGCTTACGCTTTCCGCTTTCTTGAACATTGCTTCCGCTGCCACCGCTGTCAGTCTCGTAGCTCCTGTTGCTGCATCTACCAGTTCTTTTCAGCAGTGGCATCATCGTCTTCGCCATTTATGTGGTTCTCGTCTCTCGTCTTTGGTTCATCGTGGTGTTCTGGGGTCTGTCTCCGGTAACGCTTCGTTGGATTGTCTGGGTTGTAGGCTTGGTAAGCAGATTCAGCTACCCTATCCTCACAGTGAGTCGGTGTCCGAGCGCCCTTTTGACCTCGTTCACTCTGATGTTTGGGGCCTGGCTCCCTTTGCTTCAAAAGGGGGTCACCGCTACTATATTATCTTTATAGACGATTTTTCACGGTACACTTGGATCTATTTCATGTCTTCTCGTAGTGAGGTCTTATCTATATACAAAAAATTTGCTGCCATGGTTCAAACCCAGTTTTCCACTCCTATTCGTGTTTTTCGTGCAGATTCAGCTGGTGAGTATATCTCCGCGCTGCGAGGATTCCTTGCTGAGCAAGGTACTCTTCCTCAGTTCTCTTGCCCTGGTGCTCATGCTCAGAATGGTGTGGCTGAGCGCAAACACCATCACCTTCTTGAGACGGCGCGTGCGATGATGATCGCCACCTCTCTTCCGCCTCACTTCTGGACTGAGGCTGTTACCACTTCCACGTATCTCATTAACATTCAGCCATCTGCTGCTCTACAGGGTGGCATTCCTCTCGAGCGTCTTTCTGGTCGTTCTCCTGATTATTCGGTGTTTCGCTTGTTTGGTTGCGTTTGCTATGTTTTGCTTGCCCCTCGTGAACGCACCAAACTGACTGCTCAGTCTGTTGAGTGTCTTTCTTGGATACAGTGATGAGCATAAGGGCTATCGGTGTTGGGATCCCGTTGGTCGTCGGATGCGTATTTCTCGGGATGTGACCTTCGATGAGTCTCGTCCCTTCTACCCGCGTCCATCCTCCTTGACATGGATTTTAACTCTCCAAACTCAGTGTTGTGGATCCACCCTGAGTTTGAGGGGAGTCTTAAGAGTTATGTTATGTTTCCATGTAGCCTGTATAGTTCCCCTGTAGTATAAGGGGTGTTAAGAAGTGCCATTTGCCCCCCAGGAAATACATGTTGCATATTTCCAACAGTATGCCCTGAAAGAACGAAGTGTTTGTGTGTGATTTCGATGTGGTAATGGACAGTGGCACTAGGAGAGATTCCAGGGTGAAGTCGTGCCGTGTTTACACTGTTAGTAGTGTTAGGGAAAAAATCTGGTAGAAACCAATGGGCCAGATAAAGTTGTGACTGCATGAATATGCACTTGCTGAGATGGGTAAATGTCAAATAAATAAAGAGCGATAAAAATAGTCAAACAGTGTCAGCAGGCAACAATACATATAGTTGGTAGAGGAACTGATTACTGATATATACAAATGCTTGATTGTGATGGAGCGTATCAAACTGGGAATAGTACCTGTTATCATTATGCCTCCATCTGCTGGGCAATGATGTATCGCATCTTCGGTAAGTGTGCTGTTGAACATTGCCGGTGTTGAAGCCAATCTATATATATAACACATTGTCAGAACTGAATACTGAGAAGGATACTGCTCATCTACTTAACATATTTTCAAATATTATTAATTATTTTTATCACAGTTAGTTTGCCGTCTGAGGGCTGCTCTTAAGTCATGCCGGTATGGGTTTCTTATGTTTGTCTCTGGAAAAGGATTTGTCTCTAGTGTCCATTTTGCTATGGTCATGCCTGGGAGGTTGACCATGGAAGCCATTTTCTTGGTACGACAACTTATGGAGAGATACAGGGAGCAAAAGAAGGACTTGCATATGGTGTTCATTGACTTGGAGAAGGCCTATGATAAGATACCACGGAATGTCATGTGGTGGACCTTGGAGAAACACAAAGTCCCAGCAAAGTACATTACCCTCATCAAGGACATGTACGATAATGTTGTGACAAGTGTTCGAACAAGTGATGTCGACACTGATGACTTCCCGATTAAGATAGGACTGCATCAGGGGTCAGCTTTGAGCCCTTATCTTTTTGCCTTGGTGATGGATGAGGTCACAAGGGATATACAAGGAGATATCCCGTGGTGTATGCTCTTTGCGGATGATGCAGTGCTAGTTGACGATAGTCGGACGGGGGTAAATAAGAAGTTAGAGTTATGGAGACAAACCTTGGAATAGAAAGGGTTTAGGCTTAGTAGAACTAAAACCGAGTACATGATGTGAGGTTTCAGTACTACTAGGTGTGAGGAGGTTAGCCTTGATGGGCAGGTGGTACCTCAGAAGGACACCTTTCGATATTGGGGTCAATGTTGCAGGAGGATGGGGGTATTGATGAAGATGTGAACCATCGAATCAAAGCCGGATGGATGAAGTGGCGCAAAGCTTCTGGCATTTTCTGTGACAAGAGAGTGCCACAAAAGCTAAAAGGCAAGTTCTACAGGACGGCTGTTCGACCCGCAATGTTATATGGCGCTGAGTGTTGGCCGACTAAAAGGCGACATGTTCAACAGTTAGGTGTGGCGGAGATGCGTATGTTGAGATGGATGTATGGCCACACGAGGAAGGATAGAGTCCGGAATGATGATATACAAGATAGAGTTGGGGTAGCACCAACTGAAGAGAAGCTTGTCCAACATCGTCTGAGATGGTTTGGGCATATTCAGCGCAGGCCTCCAGAAGCTCCAGTGCATAGCGGACGGCTAAAGCGTGCGGAGAATGTCAAGAGAGGTCGGGGTAGACCGAATTTGACATGGGAGGAGTCCGTTAAGAGAGACCTGAAGGATTGGAGTATCACCAAAGAACTAGCTATGGACAGGGGTGCATGGAAGCTTGCTATCCATGTGCCAGAGCCATGAGTTGGTCGCGAGATCTTATGGGTTTCACCTCTAGCCTACCCCAACTTGTTGTTGTCCATTTTGCTAGGGTCATCCGCCGCTTCAACTGGGATCATGCCGGGTATGGGTTTCTTATGTGCTTGTCTCTGGAAAAGGATTTGTCTTGTGCAATTTATAAGGCACGGATGCCACATGAATCATATTGTTTATTCTTTTGCAGAACATGCCATCAGGGAAGATTTAATATTATTTTGTTGACACTTTAGTAGATGCATAGACATTAGTAGCATAGACCTGAATAACTGTAGCTGAATGCATAACCAAGACTCCAAGAGTAGGCATGCACACATACATACATGGAATGCTGGATCAACTGGATGGCATATTCTCGGCTCACCACTTTACATAAGGGCAATATGGATGTTCTCTTGATTTAACAGCCTTGGACGGCAAGTTAACAGCGATAGCAAAGAACGAAGGCTATTTGAAAATGGATGGCATGGAATGAATAAGGAGTTATTCTGGTGATATCTGACAGGATAGGGTTTTATATACTGGTAAATAAGCAATTTTGTCTTGGATATTTGACTCATCTGTTGGCATGTCAGAGTAGAGAGGTCACATTTATGGAGAGCTCAAACGGGCAAACCCCTTGGAACAGTTAAAAGTGAGTTTATAGCTTCCCAAGAACGGATGTATGAAAGTGAGTTTCTAGATTCCCAATAATGGATGTCTACCCTTGCAATAGAAAAAGGATGTGTGCAGATTATAAGTACAAAAAGATCTCACATGACAAGAAAATTCAGATTGCCTCTGTGTTTTTGGTCCCTGCTAGAGTCTATACAACACAGAAGATCTCATATCTTGAATGTAAGCAAAAAGAAGTTTGAACTCACCCAAACTGTAGAACATCATGTCCGACAGCAGTGATTCCATGAGTAACTGCATTCTGAAAACAATTACTGTTCAATATTCAATAATCAAATAATTATCCAAATGTTACTCATGAACTTTGTTTGGGTGGGGAGGGTAGCGAAATTCCAAATGAAATTGTTGATCAGTTTAAGCATCACAACGCGATATTTATGAACTTTGTTTGGGTGGGGAGGGTAGCGAAATTCCAAATGAAATTGTTGATCAGTTTAAGCATCAGAACGCAGGCGATACTTATGAACTTTATAGGCACAAAGGATATCGAAACAGCAGCAACCAACATGACCATCATAAATTTGTATCATTCAAAAATCCTGCAAACAGAGAAGGCAGACCTAGACCTGTCCTGAAGCTGTTGAGGAAATGTAGCTGCAATCTAATCGCACTTTTAACACTTCCCTTACTTCCTCTGATGTCTAGGCTCCATCAGGCCTATCCATCTATGGTGTATACTTAAATGTGTGCCGTGCATGATTATTTGTCTTAAAATTGCGATAGACATGTTCCGGACTCTGGACCTATTGGCTCTGCTATCGTAATTCATCCAGAACCTTAAGCTTTTAAGGAAATGTGAGCGATCTACTCAAACTTAACAACTAAGGATGTAAGTATTTAAGCATGCACATCTACAAATAGGGTTCTACTCGGGTTTAACTTTAAGCTTTTTTTAGAGGGAGAGTGTGCGTAGGGTGGTACTACCAATTCCCAATTAATTCCCAGAGCTCGAACATGTGATGAGAATTCCACCTCCAACACAATAACAGAATGCCAGCTACCCAATGAGCTGAAGATAAAAATCGGTCACCATATGTTATCCGATTCGACAGAAATTACCCTAGTTTCTCGGCTAACTCTTGAAATGACCGGAAAGTCAAAACCATGACTTGTTGGAACATGGTTTTGGTCTAATAATGGCTTAAGTAAGAATACAAAACTAGAAATAATAAATTAGACAAAAATGCACACAGGACCTTGTGGGTCCTTTTTCTAAATGCATAGAAATCAGGTACCTGCAATTTATGAGCAGAAATTCGTGAATCATGTCCAACAGAGATTCTTAAACGTCTCAAGCCATCGGCTTCCTTCTTGTTTAATAACCATGCAGCAAATGCAGCAGCTATAGCTTCAGCGACAAGCTCCGTGAGATTGAGAGGCTCACCTTCAACCCCAGCAATAGCAACACCACGAATATCACTGTAAAACAAAATAGTCTGTATAAAAGAAGTTGATTTTTTTTGTAACATATCATACATATGAACACACATATCTAGAACATCTTGAAACTGTCCATCAAATGCCTCTTCAGGTTTCTTAACGAACGTGAATAATACACTAGTTTCAACAAATTAGACGACTCTAAAAGCTAATTTCAAATGGGAGTCGACTTTGTACTGCCATATTTTGCATTATTCGAGTACAATATTAATTCACAAGAATCATATCATCCAATCACAAAGAAATCACTGGAAGCAATATAATATTTCAAAGAGTTTATCCAACACAACCATTGATGCATGATAACAGCATTATACCTGAGAAATGCTTGATGAAAATAAAGTTATGGAAAGCTGCAAGACATATGCACCCATTTGACGGAGCAGTAAAGACTTTGGGTGTCGAATGTCACAATCATTGTTTGTGACGCCGTTCATGCCAAAGAAGGGAACCACTGCTAAGGATGACATGCTAAACCTCACATATACCATACAAATTGGCAATATGGTGTACTGTTCTGCTAACTGATGACAAGTTGACCTGCTGATCAAGCAGGAAGTTTCTATGCACTGATGCATGGTTATATGTATGGGTTAAAACATGGTTGGACACCCACAGACACTTGCATCCTCTTCCCACTTTTTTGGGTTAGGGGTTTTATTCCGACATATCGTGCATGCCACCTCTCTGTAAAATAAAGTATCCCTTGCACTTGGCAGCGAAAGTATCAATGAGTGCTCTTGCTTTGGCAAACACTACTTTTCCATGGTAATTTTGAAAATTAGATTTCACATATCTGCTATTTAATGTGATATATGACTACTAATAAATCTCTGAATATTGCAACATATATGAAGATGTAGCTGTTTTCCATTGGGTACTCAGATATTTGATAGGGTCAATATGTTCAGAATATTTTTTAAGAAAAATGTGTATGGAAAGTTGCTTACTGCTAAAAGGCGAACTAACAGAAACAGTCCGACAAGCATCGATTCTCACCCAAGGATTGGGATACAAAATCTTGTCTACGTAATAGATGGCCTAAAGACAGCAGAGTAGACAAGCAAATGTAGATATCAACAATACTTAATTGGCCATTTCTGTGAACTACCAAAGCAACTAAATTAAATATTCAATAAGAAAAAATGGGATTGAAAAGCTTATGCACGTCATTGTCTATTGACAAACATATTTCATTGCTTTTGGAAAAAAACACCAAGGAAATAAAGTACATGTTTTGTTACCATGCATATAGCAAAAAAGAAAAATATACAGTCTCGCTATAAGAATTAAGAGCATGCAATGCCAAGGAGAGTATCATACAAAGTAGAAACCTTGTTATACCTGCCATTTTGGAGCTTGAGGAAATCAACTTTGTCAATGGACAAGACATCACTGGCACCTTGAGTAGCTGTAATGGAAGTTATGTAAGAAAGTTTTCAGAATTTCGCATGAGCATACATGGCACAGCAGAAACTATCTAAAACCAGTAACCAAGCTATGATCTGACATAAAATAATTGGAAAATAAGCCAATATTTGACAGACACACCATATTGAGCGGGTAAAAAAAAACTACGTAAACTAATAACGATCATTGAGAGCCTAGAACAGACCATTGCAGCTAATATTTGCTTGTTTCCCGAAGCTAATCCATGCTGTTGATGTGGTATTTAACCACTTGGCTGAAGTATCAGCTAATGATAATCTACACCCCTGGACGGAATGCATGCTGCGGGTATTGAGGGCACAAAAATCACAGGTATATCTTGTGTTGTGCCTAGTCCGTGGACCATCTTGTGCCAAGAATGCATTTTGTATGGCCTTCGCTGATAATGCTGCACAAATGTCCAAATCTATCAGCTTCTTCTATTCTTATGACAGTGCACAAGATAATTGCTTATTTGGGTCATTTATAGCATAGTTTTGTTCCACGAAATATACAGAAATATTTGTACTCTCTCATTTCTCAAATATATGGTACAAGAATATAGGCATGTGTGAAAACCATACCCTATATATTACTCCAGAACCTATTTAGCAACTAATTAAAGAAGGGATGCACGGGCTAAGAATTGAAGAAATCTCCTTTGAAAGATAAAATGCTTATATCTAGGAATAAGATTAGAATGATAGAATACTTAGAATAAGGAACAATCAAACTGTGTATTTTTCTTGAAGCCAACATTCAGTTCAAAACTGGAAGTGGAATTTCATTAAAAAGGAACTAGAAACATCTTTGAATAAAAACAATATTGGCTAAAATGCAAGTATTAGCCACTAGCTGAATCTCGAAATACAATGCTTAACAACAACTATCATAACACCACGAAATATGGTCCATATGGATCTTTCTGGGCCCGAAGGCAGCCACAGAGAGCTGCCAGCAAAAAGAAAGGCCCTAAATTTTGCTGTCAGTCTTCATCCACGGTGGTTTTCCATGAACTCAAATGAATTTCACCAGCCGTTCAAGTTTCTTATTTTCTTTGTTTGACAAGCAGTGATTGAATCAGTTTAAAATTTCAGTCAGATATAACTACGATTGTCGAAAGTTAGTCCTCCGATCGAAGAGGCAAGCAGATAAAACCAACAATTCTTACATTCATCAACCCAAGGAAATTTCGCCATGCCCCTAATCCCACTAATCTATTCTCTCCTGCACAACGCATTCGGCTGACGTGGATTTCCACCCATTCCATCGGTCTAAACAAACCCTTCTACGGTTGGAAAATAGAAGCGGTGGCCAATCGGAAACTTCACCTGGCTCCCTTCTATTCCGAATACGCCCACGAATCCCCCACACGGCGCGAGAGAACGAACGGCAATCCTTTCTACGGCCATGGATTCCGCCCGCGCTTCCCTGGCTCTACGCTTCTGCCCTTCACGGACCGGTCGGGGCTTGCGGCCACGGATTCGAATACGGGATACGGTTCAATTCGATCAGGCGGATCAACTAGAGTAGCTGTTGTACGTACTGCGGGGTGTAAGGAGGAGGATGCGAATCACTGACCGGCCATGGATGTGAGGAGGAAGAGCTCGCGGGAAGCCGGCTTTCCTGTGCGTATGCGCGGACAGCGTGCACGAGGTGTGGAGGGCAGAGAGGGGGTTTTTTCTGCGGGGAGGAAGGCAGGGCAGGGAGTTGTGTTGTTGGATACTTGGATCAGATCGAGCATCTCAAGGTGCGCGGCACCGTCGATATAAGATCCACAGCCTGGTTGCTACTGTCGACCGTGCGTTTTTTCTCGTCGACGACGGACGGGAGCAATGAAATTGATCAGCTGGAACTGTCGGGGTATTCTTGGTGCCCCGACGGTTCGTTCACTTCTGAATACTAGTAAGCGTGTACGTGTAACACACGTATAATTATAGGAAAATACGAGATATCATACAAATCACTATCTAACAATAGCACACTTATAAAAAGTTGGACCATCTCAAGGTTTTCTTCTAGCTCTGCACCAATACTTTTTACTGAAAAAGAATCATACACGCCTACCTACGTATTGTATGACATAGCCATAAATCTGTCTTAAAATGATACCATGAATCTAGTGAATCCACAATGAATCTTTCACCTGAACTAAATCCACGACAAGAATTATGGGACGGAGAAAGTAATATTTTTACATGCTTTGGGATTGTGAAATGGAATAACGATAAGTTAATCTTAAGGCCCATAAAAATATAAGAACAAAAATTACCTACAATATATAGTAAGACAACAGTCAACTAAAATTTGATTGTAGAACTGTAGGATGTTGGTTTATTATCAATAAAATTCATTGTTGATTAGTAGGTCAAGTTCCCTCTGAAGGATAACAATAATGGCGGCATGATCTTGAGGAGCATCAACATGATTGCAGCGTACCTAATGCTCAACCCCTGAATCTTCCTTCTACTATTGCCAACGATTCAGTTTATCCACATGCATCGTGAAACTCAATCAACTGAACAAAAGCTATAATGTAAACAAATTAATGTAACATTTTCTAAGTATGTCCTCTTATTTAGCATACTAAATTTTCCTTTCTCCAAAAGAACAATTTGATACACAATATGTACACAAAAGGAAAACCAAAAAACTCCGGTTCATGGCAAGTATTTAGCATACTAAATTTTTCCTTTCTCTAAAAGAACAATTTCATACACAATATGTACACAAAAGGAAAACCAAAAAACTCCGGTTCATGACAAGTATATAGTTTGGTAGATAGAAAGACTCTTATGACATGGATCATAAAATAATTTGTGGAAATATATGTATGTTTGTCCTTAAGTAGGTTAAACGTCTTTGCTCGGAGAAAATTAGAAGTACATAAAAAAAATTTCAAGGGTTCTACATTCAACGGCTGCAAAAACTCCAGGTAGTACATGATATACATGGCATAAGTTTCTTTCAGATTTATCACATACCCATAAATGCAAGCCAACCCAAACAGTGCCTTGCATGCATATACTGCAAGAGAGCATTAACCATGTGAGCGCATATAAATCAAGCTTGCACGAACAAAACAAAAGGAAATCACTCGTAGAGAAATCAGATAACCATATGAAGTTATTAACTTCCACCTTCTCATCATTCAAATGCACCCTCTAGGAGTAGCAGTGGATAAACTGAATCGTTGCAAGCTAGTAACTAAAATAACCCCACAAACTACAATAAAAAACTGAATCCATGATAAGAAAAATCTAAACTGAATGCCTTGTAGACCATGCCACATATGCTCAAAATAGATAAACGGATCAACATGACAGTTGGTTAATATATTAGGGCAAGAATGAAGTGGGTATATGGGGTAGAACAATCAATGTGCTGGGTCAATAACTGCAGGGAGTCAATCGCGGAGGAGGCGGCTGACCGGTGAACATTTACGATATTTTCTATGCCACAAAAAGTGTCTGGGACCAATTAAGTCATTCCCAAAAACAAATATGAGGCGAACCTGATGGATCATCATCTCAATTTTTGCCACCACATTGTATATGATCCCCTAATTCGAGTGTGGTGGATTGGTGCAGACATTCCCCCAAGCCAACAAAAACTGCATTCAGTTTCAGTAAGGAGATACATGATTAAAGGAGTATCAAACACTCACCTCTATGTTTCAAGTAGAGGAAACAATTCCTTGGAGCTAGTGGTGCGTAAAAAATATTTTCTATATATTAACTTGTACATGATGTTTCCTGTCTCCAAACATTTATTGGCATGATCAACATAGCATAGCTATCAAGGATCAAGTATTTGCAATGTAAGCAGCAAAATTCCACGAAGCTATGAAGCATTCGGTGAATTTGCATTGATTCTGAAGAGATAGTGAATTTGAATTTCTGCAACCTGCCAAATTTAACTATTTAAGATGAGGTCACAATCAAAAAATGGTGTGCTAGTCAACCAAAAAGATTAATCATAGGATTGTGAGTCTATAGTGCAAAATTGGAAATAATAAGCAGTACACATCCCAATTTAAAATTCCTAGCAATGCTTTTCATGTAACATTTTCATAGAGTACATATGAGCCCATAAAGACATCTTACCATATGTCATGATTATTAACTATGAACAAGAAACTAAAACCAACCTTCTGACAAATATGGCATCGCCGCATTACAAACGTTGGCCGAGCTAAAATTAAAAACATGAGAAAGTAAAAAAATACATGTATGCTATTGGTAGTACCATCAATCTAGAACAAGATCATAATTTTTTTTCAAAAATATATACGGCCACAAAGAAAAAGAAAATGGTGAATGCTCTGTAGAACACGAAACATATGCTCAAAATAAAGATCCAAGCTAACAAGACATGGGCTGAATAGATCAAGGGAAAATCAGTTACACTCTTTGTTAGTGATATAGATATGTCTTAGTATATCGTTTTGTTAATTATTTGCAGGCCTATATATTTGCATGGAGTCCATGTCCAGCTTCTGACGGCATGTAAGTAGGCCAAATGAAATTGTCATGTGGAATGCAATGTATACAACTCACATGCATGCACATTGTATCCTTTCCCTTACCAGATTCTAAACTGAACTAAAGCATTAATAAGAATTCCTCTAGCTTACATTACTTTGGGCAATGGAGAGGGTTGTAGGTCGCTTCCTGTTGTATTCCATTATCTTCTCATCAGACACTTGGGCATCCCAATTTTGACCCCAATTCAGTTGTTCTCGCAGATTTTCACCTAGGGCATTTGCATTCCCGTGATTAGGCGTGATTGTCAGGTCCTTAAATGGAGAACATTCTTCTGATCGTAATGGAGATGCAGGTGGATGATGATTATTCATCTGTGTGAAGGTAAATCCATGGGGAAGTGAAGAAATCAGTACAAGCACATAATTGAGCATAAATACTCGCTCCTTATTGATGATGATTACTTACGAGAAAGGATATGTGTTTCCTTGGGGCTCCAATTGGTGAGGGATTTGTTGCAGAAAGAGCTCCATGGGCATGTCGTGGGAGGCATGAAGGGCTGTCGGCTACGTGCGTGGGTAGGCGTGGAGCGGACGCGTGCTGGGGGCGGCCGGGCGTGGGGGCGCGCAAGGCGGCGTCTGGGACGGGCACTGGCGGGGGAGCAGTGGCGGCCGGGCGGGCGCGGAAGCCAGGGGAGGCCGGGCGCGGCGGGCACTGGTGGAGGAGTGTTGGCTGTGGTAGAGGAGCAAGGGCGGACGGGGAGCAGGGGTGACCGAGCGCGGAGCCAGGAGCGGGGCGGAGGGGCAGGGGCGGCTGGGCGCGTCGGATGCAGCGGGGCAGAGGAGGATTAAGCGGAGGGCGTGGGTTGCTGCGTGGAGGAAAGTTTAGTGGCTTAACCGTATACTAACCGCGTGGTTGATGCTAAACATTAAACATTGAGATGATTTTGATCGTCAGATCTCTCCATTATACGGTTGAGATGTATTGGTTCTCCGCCCTCTCGTGCTTTTATAGGGGTAGTAGATACAGAGGCGACATGAACCAGATGCATTTTTTCTGTCTGAGATGCATCTGGATGAATCAAGGGCAGAAAGTGTAATAAAAAAATTACGTATGGATCACAGGATTGTGGTTCCTAGTCTAGATGGAAGAAAGGGTGGTTTGCTACTAGTCTGGAAGAAGAAGGTGAGGATCTACTCCCGGGCTGCTACCCTGGATTTCATCGATGTCTCTGTGGAAGAGGATAATGGAGACATGTGGAGGTTAACTGGAATATACGGTGAACCAAGTTGGGACAACAAAAGTCGTATGTATCAATTACTACGGGATCTTCATGCCCAATCCAGGTTGCCGTGGACAGTAATTGGCGACTTTAACGAGATTCTATTCTCATCAGAGAAAGATGGTGGGGCCCCTCGACATCAATCCCGTCTACAACTTTTCAGGACGCCTTGTATGACTGCTCCCTTGAAGACTTGGGTTATGAGGGAGACATATTCACGTGGTTCCGTGGAGGGTTGCGGGAAAGACTCGATCGGGCAATGACGAATGCTGGATGGATGCAGCTCCATCCTTTGGCTGGTCTTTGCAACCTGGAATTAGGAAAATCAGATCATCGACCGATCTGCCTGGATACATATCACCTGGCTGGAATTGCAGAACAACGACCTTCCTATGGGAGGAAATTTGAGGCGAGGTGGCAGAGGAGACTGTTGAGGAAGTAGTGAAAAACAGCATGGTGCAAGGCTGCTCAGCGGGGTATTGGACCAGATATAGGGACAAAGCTAACAGTGGTGCACCAAGACCTGCATGCATGGGACCGTATGGTCCTGAAGGAGCCTCGTTCAAGACTCAGGAAGGCACAACGGGAACTTGAGTCGCTTACAAAATCCAGCCCGGCATTGGATGTTCGTATGCAGCAGAAGGAGTTGTCTCTTTTTATAGAAAATTTGCTGGAGCAAGACGAGATATATTGGGCACAAAGAGGCAAAGTAAGCTGGCTACGTCGAGGCGACCGGAACACGGCTTATTTTCATCAGTTCACCTCGGCATGCCGACGGAAGAATTTAATAAAAAAGCTCAAGAGTAGTAGTGATTCCTGGGTGGAAGGTAATGATAATCTTAAGCCCCTAATTAGGGACTACTTCCATGGCCTCTTCACATCCGATATGGGTGTGGTGGACCAAGGATTGCTGAACTCTGTAAAACCCGTGGTGACCGTCGATATGAATAATATGCTTTTGGCTGAGTACACGAGGGA